GCAAAACAGGAATTATCCCTTGTGTTGGAATAGTCAGCAAAGCAATTACATTATTTTCAGTTGCTTCAGAAAATCCAGTAACCGACATATTTTCTAACATATCATTGTCTCTGTTCACTAGTTCATCAGCGACAGCTGGTTCATTGATGTTGTCATTTGATTCGGCCATATTTTCAAAAACTTTGTTGCAGTATTGCAATTGTCAAAAAACTAATGTAGACGCCAAATTTGGAGTGCCTTTAGCGCCCACACCAGGTGTATTTCTTAGATGGTCGATCTGTTTTAGTAAACTGATTTTGTCACTCCAATGCAAAAAGACGCGTATAACAGTACAAGTTGATGTCGTTTATTGTCAGGAAAGTACAGGTGTATGAAGATACGTCGGTACGATGTTATAGGTATGATAATACAACAGTACGTGATTACGACAATACGTGGATACGAGAGTACGTCAGTACGAGAGTACATCAATACGTGTACGGGAAGTACGGCAGTACGGTTTTCTAAATAAAACAAACAATAATTACAACAAATAATGTGCCGGCAAGAAATAACTCGACAATTGAAATCATTAACTAAACAAAATTGTACACATTAGAACTGAACTTAACATACGCAGGTTTACGCCAGTATAATTGCGGCTGATTACAAAAGTGGTCATTATAGAACACGGTACAACCGAAATATTCCTTAAATATAAAAACAATAAACTGAAATACGTACTTGACAGTGTAGCTTTCAGCTTACAAAACAATCGACAGTTGATTGGGACAGTTATTGAAATTAAGTTAATGTTATTAAATCTAAATATATGAAAATACAATTAAAACCTTGGAACTACAAATCTCCAGACAACGAAAACCTTGCACCACAAATCCCACAGTCCTGAGAAGGTCGAATCAAGGTACTGAAGCAGCGCGCGCAGCAAACGCGCACGGGATATTATGATGTCACAATCACTAAAATCTGTGAACGTATGTACCACCAGCGCCTCCAGTGGTAAACAACAAAAAATATAATGAAGCGAAAGAGGCAGTTTCACCAATGACATTAAACAACATGATAGGCAACTCTGACGTCACTCCATAAGACTACAGGCAAAACATTGTATTTCATGATACGCTCCAATGCACATATTTCTCGTCGCCTTTCGCGTCCGTTTTCCGCTCGCTTTTGCTACTCGGCGTCTTTTTTACGTGTAGTACCTGCCTTTTTGCGCCTGTAACGAAACAAAATAATCTCTATATCTAAGAAGTTTTGCTTACTTGGAAAGCTGGAATAACAGGCAAGCTGTAAAGAGCAATTCTGGACATCATAGACGTTTTTTTTTTATCAGAGAAGATTACAAACGCGATAGCGGAAAGATTTGTGTGGAACATTTTGCAGATAATGAGTTCAAAGTTGGTAATTTTAATGTTTGCGCTTAATCATTGAAATTTCATTTAAAGAGGGTGTCATACAAAACTGTGCTGCGATACAATTCCATAACACAAAGTTTGCACCTATCGAACTTGCTTTTGTAGGTGAATTTATTAGACATATTACATATTCAGTTAATCGTAGGTAACATTGCTGGTACATAATGCATCGTAGATAGGTTTGTTTAAATTTAGGAATTTAGCTCATAGCCCACTAATTAATATTATCTTCTATGCAGGAGGTTGCAGGGCTGAATTCAACTTGCAGCCTTACCGATCACCTGACGATGCTCATTTAGTTTGGCTCGAGCAAGTCTTCTTGAAATGCTTGTGTGGATGGAAACTACCTATATTTTTTGCCTTCCTCCGATTTTAGACAAATTTATTCTGAGGGATTTCGCATATAATTCTCACTGATTGTTGGCTGTTTATAATTCCTATTGATTGTGAATTCTGATTATAACAATGAGTTGAAAATTTTTTTACCTAATTTACTGGCACCTTTTTCTTGTCAATACTCCAAGCTGAGGTAATAAACATGACAATACATTTATGTCATCTGGAAGCAAAATATGCACACTAATTAATAGTTTGGCACATTGAGATAATACATCATGACAGAAAATACAAGTTAAAGATATGTATGACCATCACATGGTAATTAAAATTAAAAAAATTAATAGGGGCTGTGGAGTATGGAAAGTTCAAGACAAAGAAAAGAACAAATGTTCATAGCTCATGAACTCTCAATTTTGCCTCCATTGCTTTGTGAAGGCCAATATATTTCGAGTGGCTGAATTGGTTTACCTTTATGATAGCAACGATTTTGTATTTAATATAGCGAGATTATTTCAATTTAATTGAAGTGATATAATTTCCCAAAGCAATGCTTGAATCGTCTAGAATAGATCAGTGGTGTCAAACTCATGGGTTTTCGAGAGCCGCATTGCATTTTGAAAATTGTAAAAAGAGCCGCAAACAGTTTTTGAATGTATACTAAAAAGATATTTTTAAGATAGTTTTAGTTTGTGACATATATTGTGATGCAACTAAACAGTTGGATTAAGTTTTATTATTTTCTTCAATTTCAAATGCAATTACATATTAATATTTGCATTCCACTATTATTGCAACATTTGCAAGTTACAGTATTTATTATAAAAAATCGTAAAATTCTATGTACAACCATCAAAATCATTTTTGAACAAGCTTTGAATAAGGAAAGAATAATACATACACTAAAAATAACTTAATCTAAATATATGAACCTAAAATTAACAAAAATACTACAGTATAAACTCAATGTTTTAATAATTACATTTGTCCTGGCGTTTGGCATCTTTTTTGTGTCACCAGCATACTAAGGCCAGTCTGAAATGATTTTATAGTACCAACTCTAACTAACGAGGCCACATGATCATGGGTTTATCTGGATCTTTACGAATGTTTAATTAATTCCAGTAATGCAAAAAAGTTACTTTTATCATTTCATGTATAGATCAGTAAAAAAACAAATGACAGATTTTTTCGACAAGACATTTCGCACTACATTGCGTGGCATAGGATTGCTTGAATTATTATTGATATTGATTTTTAGTAACTAAGTCGTTGTATAATTATATTAATATACAAACACATGGAAATTTTCTGTTCGAAGTTGGTCTTCGAATTTGTCATATTGACTGCTGAGCTTATTGTGTTTTTTGATTGTATTGATGGAAATATGACAAATTAAACAATGTGCTTCAGAATTTTGTGAAGAGCAGAAATGTTACAACTCCCATTTTCTTCGAAAATGCCACCTTCTTCATGTACTTTGCGTTTAATTTAATTACTCAAGTGTTTTATTCAAGTATTCTTTTGCTAGCTTGATGTGTATTCTTAATTGGGTCAAAATGTGGACAAAAAAAATTAATATTCCAAAACTACTTTCAGTAAATTGTTTTCTGTGTGAATAATCAATTTCACTTTAGAAGGTTTGAAAAATCTATTACATTTAGATAAAAAAAAAATTCCAAAATACTATTACAATTATTGTTAAGCGTTCGAGGGCCGCACTGGAAGTTCTCTGGGGCCGCGAGTTTGAGATCCCTGGTCTAGATTGAAGTTGTTCAAAAAATATATGATAGTATTTTATCATGAATGATGATTATACCCCTTCCGGAATTTCTTCTATAGTACTACCAAAAGTTGATGAACCAAATATAACACAGGTGCAGTGAGGTACCCGTAATCCTCATTTCCAAAGCTGTTTTAAGTATGTCTGGCGTGTTTTGTGCCTTTTTACAAATAAGACCGCTTATGCAATCTTACGCTTTGGAATTTTTAGTTATTTTCCTCAAGCCCTGCAGGATGTGGGGGCCATACACAACTCTACCGGAGGGTCAAATGTCTTTGCATGCCTCCATAGGTTGTTTTTCTATTGCAATTTCTATTTTCAATTGCATTATATTTCTTGGAATCACACTGTCACTGATATGTCGCCAGACTTCTGATATCTCCCCGTCTGCTATAGTTGTCCTGTGAATAAATAATAGGAAATTGAGATTAGACGAATAGTTGAAAGTTTTGCTTTATGTCGGCTTAATTTCTTGATTGATATACTTACTATTTCTGCTATTGCCTCTTGTGCTGCAAGAGTCTCACAATGCTTAGACAGGTTTGTCCACAACTTTCACATCTGAAGAAAGAGAGGAGATTTATTAATTTTCGTTAAGAATAAATAAAGCAGTCTATATGATTCAGAATGGAAAAGCTAATAAATCCAATATCTCATGTTTTATTTAAAAAATATTTTACTGAATTTGGTATATAAACCAACTAATAAAAGGGTTTAGTCAGAAAATTACAAGCATTCGTGGCTCCAAATACTTGAGAAATCAGACTATACAATATAGACCGGTATGAGTGAAATGTTAGGTGAACTTGTTAACACTTTGATTCAATACGCAAATAAAAGTGAATGCGTAATAGTATGTTACAATGAGCAGCAATCAACAATGAGTATATATCCTCACTGATTAAAAAAATCTAACTGGAGGTGCATGAACTATTTGAAACCATAAGGGGTAAGTAAATATGTAATTTCGGCAAATGGGCAACTACGTACCGTACTGAATTAATAACTTCGTAGTATTTGACAAAGGCTGGCTTTCCCACATGTACTTAACAGTGCGATGCCCGGGTGTGATATACAACAATAGTATTCACCTTACCTTTTACCGATTTCTTTTTACCCCAACTTTCAAAAATATCATTAAAATCGACAACAACTGTCAAAGCAGGCACGAACACCATTCGTGCTACGCCTTGAAAGCAGCACACATCCGCTCGTTTTCGTCTCGTCAAGTATGTGCATTGGAGCGTGCTATCGAATACGATCTTCGGACAAAAATGCCGGAGTTGCGCATCATGTTGTTTAATGTCATTGGTTTCACCTACCCTTCGTCACCTACCGTATGTTTTTATCCAAATTGTATCCTATTCTCAGAAACAGAATTCCGAAATGCTATGATTCAGTTTACTACCTAATTCGACATTCAACACGAACAACGGAAAATATTTTTTTCACATTTATTTTAGATGATCCAAATTATCATCAGCATCACGGGAGGTTTCCTTTTAATCATGATTACGTCAAAGGCCTTCAATTCGAAGATCAGCATTTGTCTCAAGGTGGCGCCCCGGAACACATCGCAACTAGTCAACGATTACCTGTAAAATGATTCCTATCCTGCGTGTTATCCCTACTATTTTGCCGAAAATATGTATGCAGATGAATACATGGATTCAGAATGCAGCCCAAACTTGAACACTGGAAATAAAATGCCACCCTATGCGCACGAGGACGCCAAGAAACCCGACTATGGTGCAAGCCCCTCAAACAAGAAGCATACAAAAAGCTCAGATGAAGTTGCAGATTTGGAACCTAAATTCCGATCACCCTGGGAACTTGTGCAGAACAAAAAGACAATGCCTGAAATGAAGTCTATCGTCGCTAAAGATATGTCACTGCATCAACCGTCTGATGAAAAGAAACCGTCACCTGCCGGAAATAAAGACTTGAAATCCCCTTGGCAACCCGTGTGGAAATACAATTTCCCACATCTTCTGATGGAAGATACGCAACTAGATCGCATCATAGAGCTACCGAAGACAAAGCATGGAGGAAAAACATTCCAAGTCATTCCAAGGCGACGAAGGTAAAAATGTCCATAGGTCATGGAAGCATTGCAAGATAAACGGAATTTCTAACTTGTTTGGATTACATAGCCAACTTCATGTTTATGCATATATTATTACGGAATTTTTCAGGTCGGAATCACCTTCGCCAGGAGGCAAGAGGTCTGTCGGAAACAATCGGCTAGGAACTCCATTTGTTGACAAACCGGTAACTCGGTCTGAACCTGATGGAAGTGAGTTTATATATTGCTTCACGAGGAGATTGACGATTTAGGCGAAATTTAAATGATATTTTTGCAAAACCCTGCCGATTCATAACTTCAAATTTTTATAGTTACGACAGAATGTAAGCTTTGACTAAAAATCCTATTGCTAAATCAATAAACTGGACAACTATTCTCTTGCAACTTGTACAGGCATGGTGTAGTATTGGCCCGTACATCATTAAAATGATATTAGTGAAAATATCACCTACAACTTTTCCAGATTCTTCTCCAAAATGTGAATCAATATGGAACAAAAGTCGACAAAGCAAAACTTTTTTGAAGGATAATGTTACGAAGCAGATTGCTAGAAGGTACATACACAATTGTGTCTCATTTCGCCTAGTTTATTAAGTAACTTTTTGTCTTCACTACCAATTCATTATTATTTTAACACTTTTCGAATAGAGACAATCTCATAGCTGTTTTTATATTGGGTACTAAACCACAAATCATTGGTTGGAAACGTTTTTTATATATCCGAAACGTTTATACATTGACAGGCAAGAAAACGGACACACGTTTTTGCAATTAGATAACAATGGTTCATTAGAATCTCCTTCTCCAAAGGTACTTTCTTATAGCCGACATTTCACGCCGTCCCCAGTACACCAACACTCGCAAAATGAAAGTGACACAAAGAAGGAAGAATCGGATTTTTATGCGAACCAATACAGGTATTTTGTAATAAATTTTACCAAGCAAATCAAGCCCTAGCCCCTCTTATGAAATTATGTCCGACTTGGACCATAAAATTGAATAAGGCATAAGCTAGAAAGATGCAATAGAATTGCAGTGTTTTTTATAAATCATTTTATGCAGGCCTTATCATGAAAGACCCATTTCCACTGCCTCAGACAAATCACATGATCAAGAGGAAATATCTGAGAGGACAACAAGGCCTAATCATAGTTTGAAATCAGAGAATTCATACAGAAAACTGAGCAAAGCGGTCAATTTTGCTCCGAGCACCTTTCCTCGAATGCCCCCACCATCTTATAGAGAATCTGAAATGACGGACGGAGTTGAAGATTTTGTCGAGAACAATGGTAGATACTTTGACAATGGAGGATGTTTTTATCCGAACGAATTTGGCATTCGGAACCCACTGGGTATGAGCAGAGAAAACGCGTTTGTAAAGCGACAATAATAGAGCCGATCTAGATGACCTGAATTAAGTAAAACGAAGCTTGTAGACATGTGGCTGATTTCTTTTATTTGTTATAAATTTGACAATATTGTTATTTTATAAACACTATAAATTGTATATATTACTAGCTTTTTTACATGTCATTTCTGCAGTTCCGGCAAAATTCCACTTTTCAACCATGTCGTTTCGATCATAATGTATGAATTAAATTGTCTCTGCTCTTTAGAATGAACGATATGCTATATACAGTAATGGGTGTCTCCAAAATGTCGTGCCCCAATGTACACGTGTCCAGGAGAAGTGGGACACGTGGTACACGACATTTTGGAGTCACCGTACAGGTATGATATACCGGGACGTAATAATGTTTTTCGCAGCGAACTATTGTCTTGTGGTTTGTTGGTACCGAACGTGGTTTATCATCATTTAAACTGGATAACTTGCTTTTCATATATCTCCTTGTAAAATTATTGTGCGTAATGGCGTCTTCAATAAAACATCTATATTTTCATTCGATTTGATTTTGGCATTAATATTTTTACAGCAACAGCAAATGCTATGTTCAGATAAAAATATTTAATTCACAATTGAACTCCAGGCACCGGCTGTGTTTCAGCTATTAGATTAAACTACCAACTTTCGTGATATAAACCAAACTGCTCTCTGTCCAAATGACTCTTTTGAGAATGCAAAATACTAGATAAGGGTTGTTAGATTCAGTTAGAACAGGGTCGTCCAACCCGTGGCCCGCGGAAGTATTTCGAGTGCCCCGCGCTGTATTCTTTAGAATTCATTAAAAAAAAAGTTGAGTATATTTATCATTCGAGTGATGTGCAAAGATATGATACAAACGATATGCTTATTTTCCTGAAATGCGCTCTGCCACCCCTTTCAAGGTGCAATAGTCGCTACGTATATACATAAAAGCCATAGCACATACATAAAAGCGAGCTAGCCCAGATTCAAAATTCGTTAAGAAATGTATTTTTCGGGCTTGTCAATGTTTCATGTCCGAAATAAAAAAAAAGACGTTTGCAAAAATAGGCTTGTCAAGACAGACGGTTCTCGTCTTGTTGAAAAGCTTGGGAATTCTATAGCAGAAACTTTAATTGCAGTGGCCCGCGCACTTAATAGTAAACTAAATGTGGCCTTCAGTCAAAAAGGTTGGACGACCCTAAGTTAGAATATGGGATTTGTCATTTTCTGGCAGTATTTCACTGTACTGTAAGTTCATCATCTGGCAATGATTTTAAAGTCATATTGTCTCACGCACTCCACGACTCCACGCACAATGAAATGATTCGACAGTGATCCTCCCATCATATTTGTTGTCCACTGTAGGATAAATTTGTATAAAAACAACAAAATTACGATTAGCACAGTTTCACAAGCACAATGATGTATATTTTCATTGCATAGCACAAGGAGCTAGCCTAGAAAACGGCCTCCAACAAATCGCTGTAAATAGATGAGTTTTGTATAACTTAGCTTAGAAGGCTATAATATCAAAAGTCAAGAGTTTAGTCGTACCTAAACTATCTATATCTACCTTTAGCATTTCTCCTGGATTATACAGACGCCCCCTCAACAATATGCAACCAGTGAGCGCTGGCTCCTAGAAACGATTGGTCGGTTAAATGTTTCGTGTCGAAAATACGCCACCGGACGCGGCACATGGAACAACAATAAAAAACAGTACTCGGAGACGCCCGGAATACTGTTTACATTTCCCACCGGGGAATAACGAGTTCATAAATTCAGATGTGTGAATAGTTTGCTAATCGTCAAAATTTCATTTTACAAAATACTGAACTATAAAAGGTAATTAAACTTTTTAGAGTGTTTTAATCACAATATACTTGCACAACAATCTTATTCAACTTTTATTGAAGCTGAAATTTTATCCGCATGGGATACAGTTTGATTTCGCCATTTCACCAAACAGTGATACTACAGACACATGTCACGGTCGCATACACCACTTTGGCATACACTACAGCTGGTTAATTTTGCGCGTTGCAGGCTTTTGTAGTTTTAATCGCAGGTCTCCCTTGTTTTTTCATTGATTCTTTGCGATGGATTTGGGAATTGGAGCAACGGTTAAAAATGTTCAGATAGATGGTTTGGTAAGTTGTTGCTTTTTTTAGAAAAAATATCGTTACAGTTAATGCCTTTTAATTTTATATTTGAAAACTCAGAAGGTTGACACTCAATAATACCGGTATTGGTACCGCAAAAACTCCACGGTACGGTACCGTACCATATGTCCGTAGTCTATGTATGCCTGACCTCTATTGTATATTTAAAGAGGTGTAGGAAATGGAACATTGTAACTATGTCTGCATGTAAAATAATAATTCTACTGTTATAATGTCTTTAGTGTATAGTCTACCCTCTGACCAGTGATTAGCTGGAAAAATCATAACAACCGGAACGCACCTAATTGCAAAAATGTAATAGGCCTATATATATTTGCAACACAACGCGAATATTTACAGAAAGTTTTGTCTGTCCTAAGATAGAGCCGAAGGACTGCAAGGAAATATGAAGAAATTATCTGAAATATGTCGGTGTAAAATTACAAGAATATTAATAGCAATTCAACAAACATTATTATTAGAAAGGTATAAAATGAATTTCTATGGGGTCAATGGCCGGAAAACATCTATGACACGCTACTGCTGTACTAATTATTTGCGTGATGTGATGTAAAAAGAATTATGAATTATGATGTAACAAAACATGAATTAATACTAAGATTACCAGAGGAATCGACTTTTTGTACCATAATTTTAAATCAACAACAGGAACGCAAATGCAATTAAATGTCCAACAACTGGAATGCTTTCCCGGTGCGTTCCGGCTACAGCTCACCACTGCCTCTAACCCTAGTAGACATCACAATTGCATAAAATGACTTATTAGGATTTACATATATTTATCTCGGGAAGAGGAAATCTGGTGAGACGGCTTAATCATATAGCATACCTCAGCCTCTCGTCCAGTTACCAGTCCATGTTGTATGGGATTAGTTACCTGTTATCGTTTCAAATACATTGACTTGCAGATTTGATGGTGGAGGAAGCCGTAAATCTGAAGCGGTCATGTTAACCACCCTAGGCCCCGAGGATTCCAGCAATCCTCTTAATTATCTCTCGCAGGCTTTGAACCTGAGAACCCACGCAGGGTAATCAGAGGTGCGGTGGTGAGCGTATTCCTATTGCTGTAACGCTTAGCATGATACGCCATACCACCAAGAGTTACCGGTATGTACTTCATTTTATAACACAGGTTGTCATGAAAATAATCAAACACTGTGAGGAGGACAATACTGGACCAGAACTTGTGCAGGGAGTATTACTTGGACTTGTTGTTGGGGAGACTTTAGAAGTTACCAACTGTTTCCGTTTCCTCGTGTCCCTGAAGATTCAGAGTTTGATGAAGGTTGTGTACAGTACTGAATAATTTATTTTCTAATTTGATTTTTGTTGTTTTCTGAGATATTAGTTTCATAGGGCTAGGGATGTTCGTTTGTGCATACTCTCATTGATATTAAACTTTTTATTTAGTTATATATTTACTATTTCTTTCAATTATACTAGGGATTACAGTCAAGTCGCAATCCTTTCTTGTTATTTTCGCTATTCATTTTTTTTTTACTATTCAACTTATGAATTCCATGAATATAAAACTAGTAGGCCTATCAACTAAACATTTTTAATTACTCAAATTCAGAAAAAAAAACTAGCAATATAATGAAGCCCTTGAATTATATGTTGTAGAATCACGATGAAAGTTTTGCAGAGCTTATGATACTTATTATACCCTTTACAGTTCAATATCAGATGGATATGATGAGATGTTTACGTCATGTTAATATAGATCATTTACATGTTGGATGGTATCAATCATCATTTCATGGAAATTTTATCAACAGACCTTTCCTAGAATCCCAGTTTTCATATCAGAATGCCATTGAAGAATCTGTTGTCCTAATATATGGTAAGGTTTCTTATATAGATTTTAATGTTCGGATTTCTATGTATTGAATGTATGTAACAATTTAATGTTGTTTTTTTGTGTATGAAATAATGTATTTACTCTGACATAAAAATCCTATTTAGATCCACTGAAAACAGGACAAGGAAATCTTTCACTAAAAGCTTTCCGTCTTACTCCAAAAATGATGAAATTGTATGAAGCTGGTGAATTTACAGTAGAAAGGTAAATATATGTTACACTCATAAGGAGATAATAACTATTGCTGTGATGATAACAGTAGTGTGGAGGTTGCTATATGCCCATACACTGCAATATGTATGATAGGATTGGTTTTAAATATTAGTCATTTACTTCATGCACTATTTTCTATTTTGTTTTCTGTTGTTGTCATTTGTTAGAAAATTACTTCGATTCTTTTCAAAGAATCACCTTATAATTTTCGTTATTTCTGATTCAAACTTCATTTCTCCATTACATGGATAATCTCAAATAATCGATACTCCCGAAGTATGTGAACCAAGATGGCGGACACCGGAACGTAGTTTGTGTTCCAAGGGAGGGTTAGGCCATAATTTTATTCCAATTTTACTTATTTAGTTATATCGGCTCGAGGACTAGCCAAGTGACTCCCCTAGTATTTGTAGTTGAAATTAACTGGTAAACATACTATGTACCGGTGTCCGCCATCTTGGTTCACATACTTCGGGAGTACAAAAAAAACTAGTGTCCTGTGTCCATATCTTATTTGTCTGTCAAGTATACTCTCAGCTGTTTGCTAAGTTTGAATTTGGATAAAACCTCTCTCATAGTTGCCGGTATTTTATTGTACTATTCTCAGCTAAGGTAATGTGATTTCTACTTTATTTTAAGCCTTAAAGCTCAGAAGTTGGGCTTCACAGATGTATATGAAGAAGTTCCAATAAAAATCAAAAATTCACCTCTTACTGGACTTATGTTGTTTAAAGTAAAAGATGAAGATCCAGTACCGGAAAAAGTTAATTATTTGAATCTTGCTCACAAGTAAGTATAAACCTGATGAGTAATATTTTGTATTTTGTCTTCGTTACCACATTTTGTTCTCCATTTTAGTACAAGTTTGGAGAGACAACTTAAACTGACAATGCAAGCAGTTGATGAGTTAACTCAAGAAAGTGTAAAATTTGTACAATATCAAAGAGCAGTTGGGAAACAACAATATAACAAAGTTAGTATGAATAACATCATTGCACTTATTAACATATGGTGAATTCTCATTTAGGAATACCATGAAAGCATATGCTTTGACTGACATATTATTCTCTTTATGTTATGCCTACATAGTAGGTTAGTTTTTGAATCCCTCTTTAACACTTCGCAAAATCATTTTGTGAAGACTTCTTTTGTGAACACTAAATAAGGATTCGAAATGCCTCATGGGTGCTTAACGTTTAGAGCTCTGGACCTAAAGCGGCCTCGGGTTGATTATAAATCATGTAGGTGATGTCGAACAGTTCTTCCCAAAAACAATAGTCACTTTGCCAGAAATAAACCATTGTTTCCAAATTGTGGTGTGAGAATACCTCGTAAGTTTAAACTGTGTTTTCTATTCATATATTTGTTCAGTCTAGTTCATTAAAAATTTGTGTTTCAGAATACTCATATCCAGCGTAGAAATGCAGAGAATATTCAGAGGAAGAAAAACGATCAAGATCCACTTCCTGAAGAAGATTTGTCTAAATTATTCAAACCAGTTGCCCAACCACCAAGAATTGATGCCACTTTAGCTGCAGGTATTTTGTTCAGAGACCTATGACTATTTCAATTCCTCAATGAATTAGTTATGCCCCAGTTTGTAGTTTTGAAACAAATTCATAAGCTGGGATTACACTCATATTGATATTACAAAATGTTAATACAAACTAGATCCGACTTCCACTATTTTTTTTACAAATAAATACCTCAGCAACACGGGATTCTGCTTCATAATCTCACTATATGTATATTGAGCATTCAAGATTCTCTCTGAATAAGACCAGAACGAATTGGTTATTTTTATCTATTTCATTCAACTATATATATATATTTATATATCATATTTCAACAGGACAAGTAAAAGCGTTTTGCGGAAATGTCAATACATTTACAACTCAAAGTTTGGGAAGAATATTCATGGCTCAAGCTTTTGATAGTGCAGAGAAGTCTTGAGAAATTTTTAATTGTTTGTGTAAATAACTACCCAGGAGGATGAAGGAACTATATATCAAGGATATCTGTTGGAGGTTTTCAATAGCTATGTGCCTTGTTTGAATTGCTGATCAGAACTTGAATAAAGAATATGTGGGACGTTGTACTTTGTTGAGTTTTATTGTATTACTATGAATTTGGGGAATGATTTTGTGATTCAAGCATTAGAAATACGCTTGCCTTTGCAGCCCTACATCGGCTCTTGACTTCTATGTGAATTATAACCTGCGAAACGGTTTCAGGACTTGTCCCGGAATCGTGTAACGAGTCATTTAAGGCTTTCTCAAACAAGTTTATGCATCTGAAACGATAAGATCACCTGGTTTACTACACCTAGTCCACACCGGATCCTCATCCCCGCGAAGACCATAGTTTGCCATATAATTAAGCAGACAGGGCGAAGTATTTGCTAGTTCCTGTGATTCCTGTTTTGCTGATATATCAAGATGGGATTGCGTCCCATAGTATAGGTGTTGGTATTTAAGATCTCACTTGGGATTCACTGGCATGGGCTTCTGTGCCGTTAAAAGATAAGTCCGGTGTATGACAAATTGGAGTAAAATCAGCCTAGGAAGATTCATTTGATAAGACTATCCCATGAGCTCTGTATGATCATTGGATTCTTTCCATTAGACTTGTGGAAGCGATGTTCGATGCGAAACCTGATGGGGTTAATAGAATGTCAGAACCAGTTGTCTGCCTATTTAAGTCGGGAGCAATGGCCCAGGTGAACTGCTGTAAAGCATGAACATTCGGATTTTGTTTTGTTACTGACTGTCTCCATCTGATGAGCCCGATTCGGAGCAAGACTGCGAAGCTGCAGATGTCGTATCATCTGATTCATCATCATCGTCACTTTCGTCCTCATCAGAATATTGAGATTCTTGATCAACTTCATCCAGTGATTTCAAACTTGCTTGAGAAATATTAATTATTCTTCCAGCTTTTTTCCATGGACTGTAAAAAATATTTTGTCTGAATCACACAAAGCAAATCTTGGTACAGTGTTTGATAAACTCGTGAAATGAGGAGGCTTATTTATTTTTTAACAAACACAATACCGCCACTGCTATACCGGGTGGTAATTATTGATTACCAGAATCTCCCAATAGTTGAGCGTCCTTTCGCACTATTACACATCTGAATATCGCGCAGTAAAACCGAAGTAGCATGTGTCTCATTTTTCAGAAATGCACTTTTTCAATGTTCTGTCATTATAAACCAGAGGCCATCTTGTGGTCTAGATTTTACTTTCGATTTTAGGGAGTGACTTATGTCCATTCGTGTGTGACAAACCTGTTAAAAATGTCCTCGTCAGCCACTTTTGTGCATCGGAAATAATACAAAGACATAACCGACCGAGGATAACGTATAGAAACTGGATAGAATTTTGAGAAGAGATAGATTTTCCGTCGGGGAATTTTTATTTGTCTCATTCCAATTATTAATTGGGTTTGTGCCAAGTCTGTTTTCACATTTTTCTATTTAAGAGTGAGTTTGGAAAATGTCTCAATGCAGGTAATATTCTACGCACTGTACGCTTTTTATGACTACCAGCTTTTCTCATATTTCATATATATATATACGTATAAGTTGGATAAAACTATAACATTGAAACACATACGCTTTTATTGCCATCCAAGAAGCAAATGCTATTGCATTTGCGATGAACGCTGCTCCCAACGCCATCATCGCACCTGACCATGGTGTCACAGGTCCTTTCTGCTTACTTGCCGCCATTTCTGGGTTTTCTAAAATGCATTTCACTTCATTAATGAGACGATGTATATTACGGCATATTGTAAGGGATATTCCTGAAGGTTGAACTAGGTGTGTATAATTTACTACATCTGGAAAGTATGATTAGGTCGTTTCACTTACACCAGTTTCAATATTACCTCCGGAGTTTACGAAAGTTCACCATCACGGAAATAAAACTTACCAACACAGTCTGGCATAAGAGAAGACCACGTTCCATCGGCATGACATGTACTATTCGCTTTCCCCACCAGATCGTACCCTTCAACACAAGAAAATTCTACAGTAGAATTCGGATCAAACCAATACCCGTCTTCCAGGCCTGGAATTCCTGGATTTCCACATCCAGAATCTGAAATATTCAAATATTTGAACTTTTTTGAATTTGATTTTATTATGATAATAATCAAACAGAACTCATCAATCGGTTGAAGCTCACCCTAGGCCTATATCACCGTCGTATCTCGCTTAGCGACTGGTTATTCCGTAAGATGTATCTTTTTTATATCGCCCAAGGACAAGTACCATCAATTGTACCAGCAAATGTTTCAGGGTATTGAAACTATTGTTGTCCCCGTAAAACATAAAAACTTCATTACTCACTTATTTCACAATGTTTTCCCCGGTGTTTCCAATCACAAGTGCAGTTAAATCCAAAATATTCAGCAGGCGCTTTTTTTTGTAGGGATTCGCCCGGACTTGAAGATCCCTCATAATTTGGAATGGATATATATTTTGTTTCTTCTTTGAAATCCAAGCACACTCCTCCGTTTTTACAAGGTGAAGAATGACAAGGTGGAAAGTTTTCTGAGATTGATTTTGGTATTTGGTATGAATTTCATAACACACATATATATATATATATATATTTACTAATTCTAAATCAAAGTTAAACAAAAAAAATTATGCTACCAGAACGAAAGACTGTATATGAAATTATTAAAACTTCCAGAAAATGAAAATAGCTACAATTTATCGACCTTAATATGAACTTCGTCTAGACTAGGCGAAGGAATGTAGTGCTCGTCAAATTTCGGCGCGCCAGCCTGCTCTGAGTGTCCTCTGGTATAACATGTTTAATATTATTTTTCACTGATGGCGAGTTCCAAAGCAGCCATGCTTTTCAAAATTTAGGTTACCTATTTCACACGCATCTCCTTTATAAAGATCTGTACAATCACACGAATATGTCGTATTCGAGTGTTTTCTGCAAATGCCTTCATTTTTACACGGATTCGGAAGACACGGGTCTTGAATTTCTGTTGGAAAAAATATTATAAAAATCTGTTACAATAGAGAAAGAAACTGAATCATTCCACAACAAATTCGCATCCCAGCTACTAAGTCGCACAGACGCATTCGTATAATTCTTACCACAATATTATAAACTACATAATAATATTAAATGAATAAGATAATAATAAAATATATGATAGAATAATAAAGCTACAATAACACCTGTGCTTAACTTACTTGTTTCGCAATTGATTCCTTTATATCCGACGGCACAGTTGCATTCGTAATGATTTATTTTTATTTTATCATTACAAGTTCCACCGTTCTGGCATGGACTAGAATTACATTCTTGTACATCAGTATCGCATTTTCGTCCCGTAAACCTGCGTTAAATATTACCTCTCCGTTTAAATACATTCGGAAAAGTTAGCTTTTTGCTATTGTAAATTTGAATCATTCAAATGACTTACCCATCCTCGCAATTACACTTGACTCTCACAAGGTCTGGCAGAATCTCACATTCACCGTATTGAGAACATGGAGACGGATCACATGGAGTATGATTTTCAGTGACTAAAATTTCAGAATAGGTTAAAAGTATGAAATTGTATTAAAATTTGAATAGATGGGGAAATTAATGTTATAGTTTCAAATTTAATCGGGGTCAAGTATATATATATAATGCGATTAAAGACATCTTTCCGAGCCCGTATTAACAAAATGTGAATAACGCCTCCAAATTTTCCTAATTGTAAAAATAGTATAGAGGCGATTCCCAAATACTTTGCAATGCTTTGCTTTGACTAATCCGTCTTGGAATACTTTGGTAGGAGATTATTGCTAATTATAATATGGCCCAAACTTTTCATGATACACATAATAACAGAGGTGAAGTGGATTACACATAATACAGACTTTGATATGTCCCCTGCATTCCTCTGAAATTGGTTGTAGCATCCGATACGAATATCATAGTAAATGAGCCCATTCCTCTATATTCTTCTTCTGGTGTTTCATATCTAAAAATGAAGAAAATTCACAGTTATCAGCAGTAAATGGAAAGATAGTACATTTCATAAACAATCACATATTTCATTCTTTTAGCTTGCACATTAGTCATTAGTGTGTTTGTCATATTTAGAACAAACTTCAAAAGCAAATATTTTGATTAGCAGTGTCTCCTGTTTTACGGGTGACCAGGTTCACACATACAGCCAAGACATACATATACATATGCAGCCAATCATATTATATACAGTCAATCACGCATGCAACAAATGTCATATACGTATTCGGTGTATTTTTTGACTGTATAATGCAGGAGTCATCAACCCGTTGCCCGCGGGCACCAAGTCGCCCGTGAAGACCACCACATGAGTCGCCCGCAGGTCTGTTCCAAGATAAGCTTAATAACGGCGCTTGTAAGTAAGCTATATCAATTAATTTTTGTCCTGTTAGTCTTGTATAAATCACACTTATGTCTTATTTGGGAACTGGTAATAACACTATATTAATTATTATGGTAACAATCATCCTTAGTTTTATTTCACCTCAGTAATGTGACGGATCATTTATTACTCTCCCAATTATGACATCACACAGATGTCACCTTCCACGAACCCGCGTTTTTTTCGTGTCGTTGATTTGTAGAGAAGCGATGCAAATAATACAATTATTGATTTCAAAGAAAAACGAACGAAAACATATCATTTTCACGATGAATGGGAGGTGGATTTCCTTTTATCACCGTGAAGTACGGGCAGAAATAGCCCAAACATCAATCTTATGTTACGAGATTAGTGTTTGGTTCAAGCTATCTTTGTGAATTAACATTTTTAGACATGAACTTCACAATGAACTAAGCACGGAATACGCCTTACTGATTAAAATCTGCAAGACCCGCTCAAAGTTACAGTGTCAAGTTACACGCCGGAGTACTGATGGAGTGCATTAAACCAGATTTGTTCGATTTTGGTTTTCTCCTTGTTGAAAACAAGATATTCATAATTAGTTAAATGTGTTTGTAAATGTAACATTCGGCAATACAAGTGTTAAGTTCATTTCATCTTAGGGTTATACAGGGTGTTTGTAAAAAAGTAGGTACATTGTGGACCTGTGGTTTCCGAAGATATTATTGTGGTGATCACTTAATTATCAATAATTGAATGTTAATCGAGAAAATATACTTTTTTTAAAGTGGGCATTGAACTGGTAGCCCTCGGCTTAATCGGTATCCAGAAAGTAGCCCTTGGCTTCGAAAAGGTTGGTGACCCCTGGTATATTGTATATCACGTTACCAACCCCATTGTATCAAGGCGTATTTGATGGAAGTGAATGAAATATGACTAATGTTGATATTCACCCGCAGAATCGCTTGGATCCGATACTTGTGATAGTAATATTAATGTAATCGAAATCACACGTGATATTCGAATCGTTCTCACCAATTTCGATGACGAGATCCCACATTTTGAACTAAAAAATTATATAAAAACATCAAATATTATTACTGTAACCTCACTGCACTGCGTATATAAAGTAAATAAAGTTAAAGAAATACACTTTGCAAATAGGATGAGGCACAGAATAATGCATGTCACAATTGTGATGATGAATGCATTGTTTGGTATCACTCAGTTTTTAAGCCCTGATGGAAAAATTCTATTCTTTATCTTATAATACTAATGCAAAATTGTCATACCCGAACCAAAGATGTTTCGTTTCCAGTATACCACCATTTACAATATGCACTATTCGGATAAACGCTCTGTGTATTCTCTTCTGTTGGATAGTGAGGAGTTTTTAAAAGAGCAGTTGATTCAGTTAACTGGCCTCCGCATTCGGTAAACTTGGCTGAATATGGAATACAATATTATTATGACTTAACATAACAACATTACTCTTCTAAATAGACAGCCCCTACCGTTTGCGGGACTTGCTTCCTGACTTGGTTGTTCGACATTTGGGTCACCGTAGTTGCCATAATCGTAACTGCCGTTCCCTCCATAGTTGTAGTTACCATAATCCTGACTTCCATTCCCATAGTTATAATTACCATAATCATAACTTCCGTTTCCGTTACCATAATTGTAATTTCCGTTACCATAATCGTAACTTCCGTTACCATAATCGTAATTTCCTTTACCATAATCGTAACCACCATTGTTGTTTGCATAATTCTGATTTTCACCTTGCTGACTATTTCCATAGTCGTAACCACCATAATCATACCCACCTTGATTCGCATTTTCTTCTTGACAGTTTCCTAAAACAGAAATGCATATGGACGTATTTTTCCAGGTGGGCTATACATGTGCATGGCTAGCTATCTATTGCCCCCTAACTTTTGTGCTTCAATTCTTGATATACTCATTCCAAAATGAGTAAAGCAACTGTATCAATAAATCAAGGAGATGCTTTCGTTCGAGCGAAACTCTTTGCAAAATGCGATGCAAAGATCATTCGAGACGTTTGATTTTCGGTGTTGATCCCGTTTATGTTTATTCGGCTAAAATTACTGATTCTTTTACCTCCCCAGCTTGCTTCGTTTGTATGCAATTGTCTGCATGGGAGGGTAAATGTTGTATAGTTCAATTACTGGAAGCGGGTTAAAACAGACTTGTCTTACCTTGTGTGATTGTAGACATCGTGCATACGATTATAAGAATAAGCATCCTGTCTTGATTTTTTCGTATACCAACGTTGCTATTGTAGTTTACGAATACAAATTTCCTAATTGTAATAAGAAAGTACGATTACGCGCGCTATCAATTTTCAATATGGCGAGGCAAATTGCGTTTTACAGACGTTCAGGTAAATTCTACTGTGGCACTAGGTTGCAACTTTTATGCGCCATTATCGACAAATTATAACTATATCAAACGTGCTTCTGAAGTTGATGTAATTTACGCTGTAACTAATTTTTCCTCTCCTTCGTTAAGTTTTTAACATATCTGCTGATTACGAGTGTTTTTGCAAATGTGAAGCGTGGCTAGAAAATTCAGAATTGCCCCAACAAGACTAAATACGAAATTTTGAGTTTATTTCACGAATGGACTCAATTGACGACACAATCGAACCAGGGATTTAGTCAAAGCCATCCACTATGGATTCACGATTCACATAAAGTACACTGCCACTTTTCGAATCTGTTATTAGGGTTTCCCGTAGATACAATCTAATATTATTTTTTGTAACTGTATTTGTTCAACCTTTCCGGAAACAATAAAGACTCGAGGTTAAAATGGCCGCCAAGATTTTAAGTACATAATTGAAAAAATCTTCCATTTTTTTTGCCAAATTCAATTATTTTGGGATACTCCACTTCTACTCGTACTTGTTGAGCTACTCTGCTACTTTGTCTTGTAAATTGCTTTCTGTTGAGAATTCCTTGACCTGTTAAGGTGGTGTTGTTAGTATGCAGAAGTACGTGGTTGAATAGTACTTGAAACAAAAGCCATTTGTCGAAACGTTGTTTCCAACTCTGAAATCGTGACCACAAAACATTTTTTTTCGTTTTGCTGTACATTCGATTACTATTAAAAATAAACTTTGTATGTGACTATGTACCGACTGGGATCAACTCCCTTTACAAGGCAACAACGTTTCAGCTCTTCAATTACCAAATAAAATAGTTGAGAAGTAAAAAAATAGTTCAATTGCTAAAATGTTAAGTGGCTTTAGCGTCACAGAGTATTGTTTTAAACTTTTGTTTTGTTTGCTCAGTGACGCACAAAAGTTATTGCGTTTTGTCTAAATAACTTATTATGTTCTGTTATGTTACACAATCAAGAAATGTAAATAGTACACCATCAATGTATCCGGTATTAATTATTGAAATAGATGTTGTTTCCGTTTTGAATTATCGAAATATCAACGAAAAGCATTTTGTTGTACATATTGGATAATTCTATCGCTTTAGCTTGGTCTGTAGAACTGCGAATCAATCACTTGACTTGGGCATTAGATAAGACTTGGGCAGCGCATTAGAAAATGCCCCAGATACGGTTACCTGCTTTGAAAAAGCATTATATTACTGGACACTTTTGGTCAATTTCTACATATCTGTATAAAAACTGGAGAGTGGCTTGTGAAATTTTCCATATCCCCGGACTTTATTGAATAGAATGTCAAGACGCGTAGTCGCCATTATAACGATGATTCACGTTTACTATTTTTAATATTTTTTATTAACAATAAGTTATCATATATATGGCGATGTTGTTCCAACCATTGCTGCTCTGAGATGACACTAAGGGGACATGATGAACTCAATTCATATTGCTTCATTACTCACAAGAAAAATATTGTAACCGCCTCATTTCCTCCCATATGCTGGCTACTTGCGTCAAACCGAGCGTGTGGTAAAATTAGATCAATGAATCATTTCCGAAATCACGATTGGAACGCAAAAACGTTGCATCTAGAATCTTCACAATAAATGTAATTTTGATTGCACATATGAGTATGACACAAATTTTTGGAAATATCAATATTTAACGTTGTTTTTGCCCGGGCAACGCAATCAATATGTATTATTTCTCTCAAGCTAATTGTTTGCTAATGTCTTCCTCGTGTATTCTCAACGAGATTAAAAAAACATAAGTTGAAAAATCCGATGGATTTCTACACTGATTATTATTTTCCTATTTATTCCTGTGGGTGACCGTACATCTGAACCCACGTACATTTGAATCCATGTGTATATCCGCGGGTTCGATCTATATGCAGGTGCTAAAACCCATGGGTTACGGTTAATATGGGCTCAAATATCCGTAAAACAAAAATAATTTTCATAGGTGCAATAGTATGCAGGTGCAATTGTCGTGTGTTCAAATGTACGTGGGTTCAAATGTAATGGAACCATTCCTGTGTACAGGGCGGCCGATTAGACGGACGACTCAATCATATGACAAAGCGCGGCTTCTTTCCGCTTACCGATCAAGTTTGGCTATGTCGATAGTTGAACAGTTAGTTGATCGAGGTATACTAAGAAGGCGGATAGGGTTGTATGATGAAGAAAGTTGTGAGAGACCAGCGGGTGCAACCACCTCGCGAGAGTGATGAAATCAGATATCCTCCTGTACATAATTGTCCCACGGGGGATCAACTTGCTAACCAACGAAAGGTTATCAGGAGTGCGATGGCAAGCATGTTCATAAGGCTAAGCACTATGCGTTAACTGATAGATTACTGTAGCTCAATATTATATCGTCAAGTCGGTATTCACAAATCATTTGTTGGCCCATAGTGGTGCCCAGTGGTCTAGCAAATGCTTAGTAAGCTTAGGTGGCAGAGGGCGAATGACTATAGCTTGAATTTCCCCTTCAATTTCGTTTTATTTATAAAACGTCACAAAACGATTCCGTGTTATATTTGTAGCTTTGTGTGGGGCGAGGTAAAATAATCACACAAAAACGAAAATTCGTTGACAATTTTCAACGAAAGCTAACTTTTTTCATTCATGCATGAATCTAATCCAAAATTATCCTTCTATTCAAAAAATGACTGGAAAAAAGTTGACAAATCTTACGGTTGCAAAACATGCTGTCTAATCTTGACTTTAAAAATCGGGCGTATTCGTTGATATTGGCCTTGTCATATTTGACACTTTATCTCAATTGACAATGACATCCATGCCCACTGAAACTAATTGAATGTCGTGACCAATAGTCTCAGTAGTAAACGGGACTTGGGTAGGGATTGTTATGAGATATGAACAGTATACTCATTCAATCATATTGTAGTTACACGAGTGAGTGCATGGTTAAAATATCTTAAATCTATTGTACAATTCAAAGCTTTCCAGAGATATATTGAAGCGCGAATCATAAGCGTCTGTATAGCATCAGTTTGGGGCATTTTATTCATGATTCACTGCATCGACAATTTTTAATTCTTCGGGATACCGAGTGAGTGCTGCAACGAAGAAATTGTAACTTCTTTTTGCTTCTTTACTTACTTACTTACTTATCTTACTTACTTTTCAAATATTAAATTTCATAATACAATCGGTGTGAAGAGATTCCTAACCCATGCACTGACGTTTCCAACATTCTTTGAATTAGCGTGCAACAAGCGTTTTTGTCATACGTTCAGTATGCAGTGCGGTTGTATTCTCTTCTTAATTAAACCGGATGCATTTATTTCCGATAAAAGTCCTTATTTCAGAGTTCATTGATTATACATTACGTCAATCGTTAATAATATGGGGCATCAAAATAGTATTTAAGATCATAATATGAAGCCTAACGGAAATACATTATAGGTAGAAACAGAAACGGTTCGCGCCCAGGTCATTTCCCTTTTTGATACACTAATTGCTGTTGGCGTTTGTCCTATTTTCTATTTATATGAAAATAGTTTCTGGGCCGTTTTTGGATGAATTGTGAACGACAAATTTGTTTGAAGCTTGTGAATAAAAAGTCTTCAATCTTAATGTGTCTTTCCATAGCAGTGGTATTCAACCTTTTTGGCGGAACGCCAGGGTTGGAAATAATTATCAGTTTTAATCATAACAACCCGGAAAATATGTGTGTAAGTTTTTTTTAATCGAGGAGAAAAATAAATAAGTTCAGTAGCTTGCAAATTTGGTGAAATCTTGAATATTAGTCATCAGATTGTTTTCTGTATAATTCACTATAATACTATTAAAGGAATGATGATGACAGGGTACATGCTTTGTATGGGCATGTGCACGAATTGGAAAGTGCAATGCCTCATTTTATAACTTTTCATGAGCGCAATAGGGAATATTGGCATCCTATAAAGACAGTACGTTTTCAATCTTTTGATTTCTTGCTTGAAAATTCACTATAACAAATGTAATGGATCTAGATCTGTTCATATACAATAATCGGTACTCCTGAAGTATGCGCACCAAGATGTCGCACAACCTGAACACTAACCTGGTACATAAGCTGAGTTCAGGTTGTGCGCCATATTGGTGCGCAAACTTCAGGAGGTCCCAATAATCATTAAATCAATAAACGGTGGGAATGTAAATTATCTTTGGAATATACTGCCTATGACATCGCATTTCAATTTACGTTTTGTACATGCATCATTTCTTCATTTTCTATAAACTGGGCGCTAATGCCAAAATATATATATACTTATATATATCATTTCCTTTTTGTCTTTCAATTGTAGACAGAATACCAAAACAAAGATTTTCTACTTGGAATGGATGCAAACTTCGTAGGTAAAGTCGTGATGTAATACCACGTAGAGTTCATAAAATAGAAACTGAATTTCCATGCACAAATATGGAGGTGCCGTTTCTATCGTGTTTACATATTGCTGGATTGCTATAAAAAGATTAGCTCACGGTCAATGACGAAGAAATTGATTTTGCAGACAACATGATGAAATTCAATTATAGCATCATAAGATATACGATAAACTACAGAAAATGATGAAAATATTCACAATGTTTTTTTAAATGTTTTGGTATTGATAGTCGAAATCTCGGAGAACTTCTAATTCCGGGCTAACATCAGAATAAAAAATGCCTACCGCACTGAAGTATACTTAAACCAGTTATGTCATGAGCCTTTGGGTACGTGAGATGTTTTCAAATGAATTAAAATCCAAGGCTATTTTATCAAATTATCATATTTGAGAATTTTACCTTCAAAAACGGATAAAAAAGGGGATTATTAATCGTGCTGTCATATTTTAATGTGATGTTGCCTGTACGTTTTAAACCATTCATACATGGTTTATGTAACAGCGTCATGATTGCTGGCAATCAACAAAGTAAAAAGCCAAAATGAGTTGAAAACATTGATTTTATATATTCATGGAAAAATCCAAAAATTGTGATGCGTTCATTGGATGTTTGACCGTAGATCCATTACCGTATTAGATTAATTAATTATTAGATTATAAGATTAATATTATATTATTTAATTTTACATTATTTTTTTCTGTTTACTGATTTTTTGTTTTTCTGTGGGACGTTTATAAATCGTGTTGGTTTTTCACATCTCAAATATTTGATGTCCGAAGCACATTAATGTAATCAGGCGCTGCACGTGCGAGAAGGATGTCATGTAATCCCATGCAAATTGCCGGTGTTTGAATTATGATAATGAGCACGATGTCACGTTTTACAAACTATTTTTGTTAAAAATGTTGTAATTGCGTTATCAAACCGTGGTTAATTTGTTATTTTCTTTTAAAAATGGTATATTTAAGTATTTACGAACTAGGAATAAAAAGCTCTGTTTGCTGTTTACATTATGTGACTCTTTACATCAGATTTGTTTGTTATTGAAGTTCATAAGGTGTAAATTTACAAAAATAAAACGTGTCCTGGTATGAACTTTATAAACAATTTTCTGCCCCAGAAACACTGCACAATTCAGATTTGAACAACTGAATATATTTTTCACCGAACCCAGATCGTGGTAATTGATCTCATAACAAATACAATATAAATGCAAAACCTATGTTTTGGAACAATCTCAAAATTATCGTATCGCCTTCAAATTGCCCAAGTTGCTGAACAATACTTCTCACGAAGCGCCAAGTTTTATAGAAAAACTACTTTCTTTGATATATTCTCAGAACGCCAAAAGGTCAAGACGTCAATCATGAGAAAATTATCCTAATTTAGGTTCTATTTAGTACCATAACATGTATTACTGCTTCTGTCGCACTTCTAGTTTTCTTTTCATAGGTGTATGTTATTAGTCGCTGGCATAAAATTGGAATTCGTGGTCGGAATCAGAAATTGAATCCGAATACCATACATACTACATACAGTATAAAAATACCGTAAAACAGACTTTGATCTTCGACGAAATGAACATGATATATCTATATATTAATAAATACTTGGGCGAAATATGGACTTTTCAGCACCCTTGCAAAATACTTCACAAGAGATCTCACGCACGGGTCACACCTCTTTGAAAGTCGACAACATTAGCGCTATTCACGAGAAGGCGTAAACGCACGTTCTTTGTTTGTTTATCAATGTGAATTACGCATGTTTTAAAATACGTAAATAACGTCGGTTTTCTACGGAAAACCTTGCATTCGCTTTGTGCGTATGCAGAAAAGCACCAATTCTTCAGAATGTTTTAATGGTAAGTATCCTATTTCCAGTTGATGTTAAGTCAATTCATATTTATAGACTATACTGAACAGGATGTATAGCAACATTGTAGTACCCGCTAGTTCTATTTCAATGCATTTATTAACTGGTCCGTAAGAATTTATATGCAGTGTTATTGGTAAACAAGTAGGAGTCCCCTGTACCCTAGTTCCAACAACGCGAGCATATTTTAAATTTGGCGGCACGTTTATTTGTAATACCTTGCACATACTGGTAGCGCTTAATTTGCAATCACTATATATACTAAGTATACTTTGTTATAATATGAACGCTTTTAATTTGCGGCCCAGATTGTGGAATCAATAAAAGGAATGCTTTTATGTTTTACTACACAGTGACTAAACGTGAATTTTGAAATTACTGATTTTATGAATAGCGTGTCTTTGCCACTCTAGCAATATTAAACTGTTGAATATAAATATTACGATGAGGAAATAGGAGCTATAACATTCATTACCATCCTCCAGTGATCTCATATATTTCCTTTCAAATTGGTATATTGTGATCGCGGAATGACTATATAATAGACGAGACAATTTATAAAAATTATATTCTAACTTGATAGGCAGATATAATTGTTGCAGAAAAATACAAGATTTGACTGACAATTGCTAAAAATGGTTGTCCGTAATTTCATTGCTTATTTTCACGTAATCTTACCCAACTCTGGCGACAGGGCGCTCTTTTTGTTTTAGATCTAATATAATTGATGACGTTTTACTGTTGATAAATGGCAAACCGAACCCATTTCTCGTGAAAACGGAAGCGGGTGTGTGATCACGAGTAACACGATTCTTGCAGCAACAAAAACATAATTTGAGTAAATAAACAAAGATAATTCTCAACAAGTTTTATATTTATATCTTCCAGGAACACACCCTTGCAAACGCGTACAAAGAGGTTAATTCGGTACAACAAATTTATTATATGAAATGTGTTGCTGTTTTTTCTTTTGTGGTTACTGGGCGATTTAGCTTGGTCGTAAAATCGCTGCCGAATTATTTCAAGTTAACGATTTCACCTATGGTCCTTTCAAATGACTAGTGATAAAATTCGATTGAGGTATTTTAACACGAAGGGCTCACTCACGTGCAACATTATATAAGACGGAAGTTTGTCATAAGGGGAAAAGGTGAATAAACTTTATAATGTTTCGATATAATTTGCGTATTTTGAACATTTATAGTGACAAATTTTGTAAGGAATGATGCCATCATGATGCGTTATCCTCACCGCATACTATTTTCGCTTGGTAGGAAAAGGGGTTTCCGGTTTACCGAAAGTTGAAAACGCATACCGCATACATGTTCAATATAATATATTATATAATATTCGTGGTAAAGGTCGTCAAAACAATGAATTACCCAACTACGTCTCAGAAATTATTGTTTTGTAGGGATTGAATTTCTGAACCGATATCTATTGTGTTCATAACTTTCGGTATTAACTCATTTTACTGCAGTCGTCAAAGTGTTTGTCAAACCGAGTCGCGGAATTTTGCGTACTTTCCAGGGAATATGAAAATTAACACCGGCATTGTTGTTCATAACTCTTTTAAGAAAATGGAATGTGCCATAAAAATCCCAACATTGCAAATAAGTTTCGATGTTTAGCTTAGTATATACATGTATTACATAAAAAGTTCAGCCATCGGTGTTTTCTTCCCACATTGTAAGTGTTCTCACTCCCACCGTAAAACTTTATTAAAAAACATATTATGTCAATGACAAATTGAACACGCAAGACTTTTTCGGAAGAAATATACCTGAACTCGACGACTAAACTTGTTTTTGGTACTTATATGGCGATCGGAACAATGGCGATAATTCTTATTACTGAAACTCCATTCTCGGTTTTCTTCGGGGCATATCGTGGGTTATTTCCAGCAATTAGCACGGACGTGGTCTAATACCTAATACTAATTACCGCTCGGTTTGACAACAATGACCTAATCTAACCTAATTTCGCTTCATGAGTCCAATTTCTTAAGCAAACATTGAGATATAATTATCTCAAATGGGAAAGTCGAACAACGGAAAATACTTTAGTATAATGAAAACTAAATCTAATGTCCTGAAAATTACAACCAGCAGATAAATCGTACATGTTCACAAGTTTGTCATTTTTGTCAAATTCACAGCATCATTACACAGTGTTGTGACATAAACATTTTTTGAACTCACTTGCCAAAAATAAAGTTTTTTTTCTATTCAAGCAAAATTGAAATTCTGCGGAACCTTGGTTGATAACCACTGCTCTGGAGAGTTTAGAATCTCACACATATGCTGTGACGATTTGTGGGTTGCTTGATAGTGAGTATTGGTAGATCGGATCAAAATCACGAGTCTGCAAACCCATGATAATGAATGTTAAGCAAACAATTATTTTGCAAATTTCCTATTAACTACTAAGACTTCTAGCTTCTTTTTAATATTTGGGTCATAATTTAATATAAATATCTTTGCGACGGCCATTTTGCATAGTTACCGGAATGACGCTCATACAACTTACTCATTACCGTGATTTATCCGCACAAATTTAACTTTAATCGAACAATTGCCAACAAATGACGTCACCGGCCTGAATGATAAAAAGCTATGAAATGATCATTTTCTCTCAGATATGAATCGCGTAACCGTGTGTTTGCGTACAAAGGTTTATTTTAGGATATCTTCATCTTTAAGTGAAGACTGGAATAAAGAGATCATAATGCGCCATCAACAAATCATACTTATATTTTTATTGCTGATTGCATCAGTGAGCCAAGGTAGTCATTTAATTCATTTTTGTTAAAGTAAAAGTCTTAGAATATCATCATCTCAGTTTTCAGCGACGTTTTCGTTGAAATGACGGTAAACGAATGATTAACACATACGGATGGTTAGTTTTTTCAAGAGATATTCAAACTGTTTGTTGAAATGCATTAGTGAGGTAGTCAAGTGATTTAATTGGCTTCGAAATTTATTCAAGATTTACGTTATTGAAATTACTATTAGAATGTAGCGATTGCTTCATAAGAAAAATTTGTTTTGAGATGATATATCACACCGTGCTGGAACGATCGACTGTTTTGCAAAGTACGGATTGTTCGTTTTGGAGTTCCAATTTGTTACAATTAATTTGAATTTCAATGAAATAGAATACGTGATTTTGTCAATATGTATTCAAATCCAGCAATATATATTCTAACCAGATTTGCTTAGACGCGGGAATATTCACATTAGTTCGTGTGATTATCGACAAAAAGTTACTAATATCATAGCTGCAAATGATGCAATATAATTATGTATGGCAATTAACGTATGTATATGTATTTCAGCATGTCATTTGAAATCAAGATGCAGAAAGAAACGATCATTCGGAAGACGGGGTTGGAATATACATGGGGGTTGTTTGGCTTCTAAATTCGGTCGAATGAATGTGTTGGGACTGGGAATGGAATTGAAAGACGTTTTTGAGAAATACAAACTGACAGACACTATCATAAACACCCAGCTTGAATTATGTGTCTCCAAAAAGGTGAGAAATCACTCTTCAATAATCAACATTTAAATATATTTTACATAATTTTTAGATGCTAAATGAATTTTTGGAAAAATTTAATGAAAACCCTTTTCTGTATTGTATCTGATAAAATAATAGCTAACATCAGCACATAGAATGTTAACATTGGGGCACAACTCATTGGGATTATAAAACATTATATATTGTATCTCATTTTTATATGTAAATCAACGAGTTACGTAGAAATACACACAAAAAGTTACGTATAAAGATCAGCATAATATCTAAGGTCGCAAGCATTTCAGGATTGCGTTGTTTATGTTGAATCGAAATAAAAATTCCTAATTTGGGACAAGTAAATTTTCTAAAGTACGTATATAGATAATATAAAACGGCATAATTGTTTTTATATTATGAAACTAGTACACTGTAATAAATACACTGAAATAAAACCGAAATTAATATATCATATTATAATCTAAATATATTAGTTGATTAAACGTCAAAAATATGCGATTTATCTGATCTTTACACTTGGTAAACTCATAACACGATTTATGTAAGATAAGCTTTAAAATGCTGCTGTACTGTACATTATTATTCCTAAATAAGGGAATGTATCTTTCACATCCATTCATCGTTTAGAAGTATTCGTATTTCTCTACAATTTATGCGTAATGTACGTATTACAATCCAAAACTTTATTAATAAAATTAAAAATGCTAACGCTTCATTTTTAGATAAATCCAATCAGTACTGGAAAAGTTTCGTTTGAAGGATTGAGCGGTCAGCATATGTTCCGATATTATTTTGTATATCTCTGGGCAAAAGACAGTCCAGAATGTCAGGATCATAGAGCTAGTTGCAATTTGATAAGAGTAAGTTGTGTATAATATATGAGTATTTACTTCAGCATAAATTTTGTGACAACATACATATTATGATATATATTTATGTTTCTTCAGGACTGTGTTATTCATCTTTTACGTGCGGTATTATATTCGTAACATATTCACCAGTCATGTGGACTCATACATTGGAGTATCTCTTTCGTACACGTGGTACATTGGTTATTCAGTTGTTCAAGGCTGTTCAGCCGTTTTTGCAAGTGAAGGTAAGACCAGCACACTGCAATCAAAAATAAATTCTGGAATTTAGTGACAAGCTAACAAAGAAAAGACGATTGGTGTTCACCGGACAAAATAAAATATTGACAATTTAAAAATGGATTTATTGATTGGAAACATTCAATTATTAAACAATGTTTTGCAAAGGAAATCACACGAGATTGTCGTAGATATTTCTAATATTCGTTTATTCCGGACATATTGTTCACCAACGGGTAATTTAGCCAGACGATTGACTACCTACCTGTCTGTGTTTCTTATCTTCCTTGTAATTTTCAATGAATCGTATTCTTTTACTGAAAGCACTACGAATATTTATAAATTATTGCTATTTCCAAATTAGACGAAATCTGTGATATAGCAAAGTATATATATTGCAGGAATTTACCAAAACATAACCCTATATATTTACCGCTTATCGTGACACAATTTTCATTTGTATTCAAATAATTCTAAAAGTTATCGATCGATTTATCCAACATTATACACGAAATATGAAACCGATTCAAAGTAATATAATTATATGTTTACGATTAGGTTGTGTAAATACTGCCGTTTTGATTTTAGTATTGGTGAATCTACGTTGAAAACATGTTATTGATAAAAATCTTTTCAGGTTGTTCTGGAAATTAATATGTACCTTGTATTACGTAACAAGGAAACTTTTGAAATGCAAAATAAGTTAGTGAATCTTAAAGTAGATTATAAATCAACATGTCCACTGTTGCAAGACAATGAAATTTATTTCTATTTTGTTTTAATAGTTTTATTGAAATGTATATTTATTATTTTAATAACAAATAAATTGGCAAAAAATATATAAAAATTTGCATTTGAGATGTATAATATAAAAAACAGCTAATAGTAACAAGAATGTCGTAGAAAACGCCTGATATTGACTTGGCTTAAGTTTTAACATAAGTAATAACTGATGTATTGTGTTATTGCGGATCATGATCGAAAGATTATTTTTGGTGATACATTAGTTTGTATTCTGGCGAGGATTTGGTGATCAGATGGGTTCATTCTCAGACTTAATGATTCATTTGTAGAAATGAATTACAACAAATAACGAGTTTTGACGAATACGCTAATTTGTTTCTAATAACCAAATTAAGTACAATTACTACCCATTGGCGGTTCATGGCGGAAAATCAATTACGCAACCGTTTTCCTTTTGAATAATCGATGAATAATATCAAAGTCACACACTTCCATTATTTTACTTATTCTGGTTCCAAATTAACGCAAACAGGAGGCGCCCAAATTATATTTACTCCACTAGGTTGAGTTTTATTATCATAGAATCATCATATTATAATTTTAAAAGCTATGGCTGCCAATGTCAAATTTATATCATCAGAGAACAGCTGATTTCGACATTGTCGTAATTGGTTTTCTGTTTCCTTTAAAACATTTTCGATACTTAATCGATTGGAACAATTTATATCATAAAATCGTCAGTTCATTGTCACGTTTCAAGAAGACGGACGCAATCCCGAAGGATTGACGCATGTTAAATCGCCAGCCCTGCGTAATGAGGAAAATTAACGTGACAGTATCATCATAATCGTATCGATTCCAAATTCATTGCCATAAAATGTTCAAGTATATTATGCAAATGATTCTTAAGTAGTGGGCGTTAGTCTAGCACAGGGCTTCCCAACTTTTTTAAGTTGGCGACCTATTTTTATTGCCATTTTTTGTTCGACCAAGGCTTGATTAGAAACAAGCTCACACGCAGCGTAGTATCAACATTGTGCTTTTGGCCCAAAGTCATTACTTATCGATCTCGATCGGTAAATATGTTGATAGGTAATTGTCTGTTTGATTGCACTTTCGTATGTTACGCGATATCTCTCGAAAGCGAGGTTGAATCTGCTCCATTTTGCATGTGCATTCATCATATCTCGGACCAGAAGATTGACTTTGGATAAATTTTGTCGTATAATTAGCGAGTTATTGGTTAATTAGTGATGGGACACGCTGTGTCGCTATTGAGTCAGAGCGAAGGAATCGAAACCGCATATCGATAAGTCGTCAGTCTCCGATCGCTATCTAGTTTCCTGCTTCAATAAAAAAAATCAGAGTCATGTTTTCTCACTACAACTTTTCGAGCTTTCCCTTTTTTTCTTTCACTTTGTTACCTTTTCTTTTTAAAAAATTATTCATTTTGTGGCTTACAAACAATCAAACAAAGTTGGGGGATTAAAATGTATATTGACCCTGTTTAGCCAGTATTCAAAATGCAACTCATTGGACATACCAATTTACATAAAGCGGCGTCTTTGTTACCGTCCACACGAATTTGACAAATTAATAATCTGCCTAGTAGGTACATTTTCCAACATAGGGGCGTACTGGAATTATTAACGAGACACAACGCATAATTCTAATTGTTACGTAATGATAATGCCCCAATTTCCCGATCTAATCGAAAACTGTATGTAACATTTGGAAACACTGGTCTAGCATGTATACCATCCCAGCAGGGTTTTCGAATGTAATTTTATCTAATAATACGGGCAACATATGGCTCCAGTAAATCTTTTCAAATAGAGACGAAGTTTACTGATAAAGTCACGGCTAGCGTAATCACATAGCATTTCAATACTATTATTAAGATTGTCACGAAGGTTGAGAAAATATTTTGATAATGCGGGTACTTATTATTAGTAATGCCATGTACGTACATATGATTCGTTCATCAGACGTGCCAAATTACCGCCCAAGTCACGCCATCTTATCCAGAGTTAGATCATTCACAAATCAAATAATTTCAATTTGTGAATGAAACGCACGTGTTCATATCAGATGAAATATTCGATTTATACTAATATAATATATAGTTAAACATTCATTTGGGAGTCGTTTATCTGCAAATTGCCCTAGATTTGGTTTCCCACCTTGTGACGGTTGTGCGTTGCAATGCGGAATAATTCAAATGAATTCGAATTTAGGAATATATTGCTCTCAAAATCACTAAGGGTCAGTGGTTCCCAACCGCCGGTCCGCGTCAACTTTCCTGCCGGTCCGCCAAATATATTCCGACATACATTATATCTCAATTCCAAAATGCAAGGCACTGATGGCCTGCTCATTTATTTTGTAATTTTAACTCCAATTGGTGCGTAAACCGAACTTGGCCAGAGATACTGCGCCCATCCCAAGCCCTGAATGGCTGGATGTTTCTTTGAGTCTAATACTAAAAAAAAACATCAGCCCAGTTGAGTATTCCTGCGATACCACGTTGATGTCGAAGTATGAAGACTTGCTATTGTCACAGTTTTGGATATCGCTTAAAAAGAATATCATGAGTTCAGTGACAAAGCTATTAAAATGACTGCTGATTTTTCGTACAATTTACTTATATTAGAAAACTTTGAAGGTTCACCGGTCCGCAAAATTTGTTTTAAAATTTTATCGGTCCGCAAGCTAAAAAAGGTTGAGACCACTAAATGAGGTGACATAAGCCTAACACATTGAAGTTAGTAGTCCTTAAAAGATGGGGTATGCATGCCAATTGCTTGCTAATGCCAGAACGTTTCCGGCAATAAGACGTTGTAAATATCGCAGCATACATTTCGAAATGGCAAAATTTGAATCGATACAGACACAAATATATACAGTATATAAGGTGCTCCCGAAGTATTCGTACCAGGATGGCGCACAACCTGAACATAGTATGTGTACCAGGTTGGGGTTGTTCAGGTTGTGCATCATCTTGGTGCGAATACTTCTGGAGCAAACTCGAACATCTATCAAGACAATTGGCTCATATTACCAATCTAAGAAAATATGTTTCAATATTATTTCCTAAAATCACAGAGTCTGATTCGAAGCTAATGAGGTCATGATGAAGCCACACATTTAAAAAATGAATTATTCTGCTTAAAACACATAGGTGTGAAAGTTTTAACTTGTATTTCAGCATTTGACAATAATTACCCACGATAAGAATATTTAAAGCATTGTCAAGTATTTGAACACAGTACAATACATGTCCAAATGTATTGTTGCAAAATGTTTACTATTGCAATCACGACTTTCCCATATCACAGAGCCTATCTGATACAAATACTTGAGAACTTCTACCTTCGTGCAATAAAATATCACGGAATTTATGTTCATGTTGATATATCATGACAATGATGAAAAGACAAAATATATACAAAATCTTTGAGCAGATATCACCTCATTTAGTCTGGCGATTCTCCTACGCACAAAACAAGGGCCTGAGTTCGAGATATCGTAACTTGAATAGAGCATCACAAGACAGTACAATGTATTGGGCTTTTACTCCTATTTATGTTGAAACATTATTAAGGTTAGAATAGTCCATCATATAATAGAAAGGCTATAATGTGTTGCTTACATTAATGTAGATCAGGAACAGTGAATATAATTTAAAAGCCAATGATAGTATTAAAAAATTCTCTGCCAGTTCAAAAACAAAAAGACGAAGACGAGCCAAAGTACAAGAAGAAATCGACTGTCAGTTTTGGATCAAGCCTCATTTGCATATATACAATGTATTGTTTAAAATATTAACTGAATGCGATTTAGCTATTCAGACATTAAAAAAGAATGGAAAGTTCCTTATTATGTCACACAAAAATGTAATAACATAATATTCGGCCTCTGGTTAAATATGTGTTAGAATCTTCAAATATTTTTTAACAAATCACAGAAAACTGAGAGTTTCTGTAAGCTGTTAGAATTTCAATCATGTAATTAAACCCCATTTCATGCTTCCAAATACACCTCTGCTATGCTTTTTGTACAATGCCAAAAATGTAATATATTAAACTTCAGATGGTATTTAAGTGGCAATATATATTAGTCATTCAATTTCATATATTTTATATATCTTAGAATCATAAAACTCTAGCAATTATCAAAAAGGTGTAATATTGGAAATGACTGTAGAAAATGAAAGCAATAGAACATCGACTTTACAAGTCGTGCAAAGCACTGAAAGTCAAGAAAGGACCGAAAATGAAGACATTTTATACACACCGCCAATCGGAGTAACAGCCCTTGTCAGCCCAAGGTAATTCATTACAAATATCATTTGTCTATATCGAAAATATTGGCATGATGTAAACTAGTCATAAACACATTTTTCGTGTTATTTCATCATTGAACAATATTCGGGCGGTGTAAAAATAACAAAAGAGGCATGTGTCAAGGTGTAAAAGCAAGTAAAAACACAAAAACAGATATTCTCGTAATTTAAATCAAAAATCTATCATCTTAGCACAGTAGAGATCGGCCGAAGTATTGAAAATTTGCTTAATTCTATTTGTCTTTCTTCCTATTACTGATCTCCAACACCTTTGTTGCTTGTACGACAATGACTTTTTGTTACATCAGGAGCTAAATTGTTAAATAATATTATGTTCATTTGTGAAGCGCATAAGGGTCAATCAATGGATCTCAGTACAAACAATATCTAGTTAAACCAATGTGATCGTCAAATTTGACGACGGTTTCTGGCTGCTAACGGTTGCGTAACGGCAAAACTACTGCGGCGTCTGTATAGTCACTCAAAGTAGTGGAAAGAAACAAGCTATCAATCATGGTGTACATCGCCTGCAACTCGTTTCCGTATTGTGGCCAAAAACAAGAGAAAAATATCAAAAAGCATGAGCCAAAATAGTTCAACCGCTACCTATGGCATCGTATGACAAGGAGATGAGCTCGCATTGATGCAACACAATTCGTGTCCATTACACGGGTTTGTCGAATCCCTGACTCGACCCATCTTTAAATAGCT